AAAAAAAAAAAAAAAAAAAAAAAACAAATACAAAAACACAAAAATAAATAAAAACAAAAAAGAAACAAAAAACAAAAATAGTTGAATTAAAAAAAATTGTTCAATAGCTTTCCGTTTTTCCTTTTTTTGGCATTTTTTTAAATTTTTGATAGATATTATCCTACACATACAAAAAATAATACAGTGCAATTTAAACAAACTGTCACTTCACGGTTCCGCCATTTGAAAACCAGGCTAAAGTGTGGAGAAGGTCATGTTGGACAAGATTTAATGCAATGGGACAACAAACTTTTGAGAAAGGAAAGACTCTAATATCTACACTAGCAGACACCAAATATGGCAATTTCTCAGTTCAAACTTTAAACACAAGGATAATATGGAGAACCATATTTTTGATTGACCTAAGTAAGTGATGGGATGGTCACGTGGTATCGGTTGAAGTTTGCAACATTCAATTTTAAAGATTTACTTATGATGTATCTCGAAAAAAAAAGATGATAACCTTTAAAGGGAACTTCTGCGTAAAATAAGTTAACGTTAACTGGCCAGAAATGATGTCGCAGTTCCATTTCTTATACTATGAAACGGCTGATTTGAAACCAGGGCCAGAAATTCAAAGCTGGTTGATAACCAGGAAGTTAGCCCATGAACGCAGATGTATTTTCGAGTGCTATCGCTTGTCTTCGAACGATCGATAATTAACTTATCATGAGGGAGAGAATAACATTCAAACGCCGGGATCGGAAAAAATAGTAGTTTGTATCAAAGTTATTTCAAAATCAATTTGGACGGGTTGTGCGGACAGGATAGGTTTCTCTAATAGTAAGTTATTTATTGAAAGGTTGAAAACATCGTAAACGACATGTAAATAGTTTGTAAAATAACTTATAATATAAAGAATTAATTAATAATAAATCATGCTGTTAATAAGTGATAATAATGATACTTTCATTACTACAATTGATTCACCTCCTAGCCTTGTTTGCTCTTGAGAATCAGTTTTAAAAATCCCCCATTTTCACATAGACCTTAATGCACCTTGTTAACCCAGGGCTCGAAATTGCGACTGATACGGTCGCCAATGCGACCAACATTTTCTCCTTTGCGACTAAAAATTCTGGTTTAGTCGCCAAAGTGGCGACCAGATTTTAGAAGAGTAAAATTAAAATAAACATTTCATCTTATCTTGCTTTGCTTTCATCATAAAAAATGTGCCAAATCCCATAAACAAAGCCAGTTTACCTCCAAATTTATACCGACTTCATGATATTTTCAAATCTGATGGATCGCGCCATACTATGCTGGGCTTCTGATAGGTAGCCGAAAAAAGTCAAATTTCGCGGGATTTTTAGGGGCAAATTCACGGAAAAATCGGCCGATTTTGCGGCACTTTCGCGGGAATGTTTGGGGCAAACTTCGCCGAAAAATCAATCGGTAAAAAAGGCCGATTTTGTGTTTATTTTTTAGGGAAAATTTTGTCAGATATCGATCGTTTTTGCGCCTATCAGACTAGCGTTTTTAACGTTTTTCTAACAGAGGTCATCATTTTCTCTTTCAACAACAAAACGCTCCAGAAATGAACCAATGGCAAAGCCTTTAACATCATGGCTAGTGCCCAGTTTTTCGCAACACAATCTACGCCTGGTAGTTTCGGGACGTTATTTGCACGTTTCATTGACGAAGTATTAAGATAAATTTGCAAGGTTACGGCAAGTAAATAGCCCCAATAGCTGAGACAAGTTTCAAATATGTTGTATTTGATACGATTTCTACTGAATTTCGCGGTATTTCGCATGTTTTTGTGAATTTCGCGGCTCTGCTCCTGCTCGAAGTATCAGAAGCTCTGTACCTATGAGCTGCGTCATTTACATTTTACAAACTGGCGACTAAAAATTTGCATCTGGCGACTATAATTCTCCGGTTGGTCGCCAAAAGGCGACCTGAAGATTTTTTTAATTTCGAGCCCTGTAACCCCTCG